CAATTTTAACTATTTATACAAAATTGATATGATAGTCATTTTAGGGCAAAAATTCCCCTTTTCAAAATATCAATACAAGTATCAAAATCACCCATTTTGACACAACAAAATTTCATTTTCAAACCCCAAGTTCATTTATTTCATTTCCACCAAAAACCCCTCTCTTACCTCTCACCCAAACCCTAGGTTTGTTCAAATTTCTCCCAAATGCCACCATTTTTACAAAACCACGAATAACCAAGTTAAAAGTCATAACAAAGTGTAGAAAATCCCTACCTCAAATAGAGAAAATGAGCCAAGCAAGAGTGAAACTCCAAGAACACTGAAACCCACTTCTACTCGGATCAAAATGAAAATCTTAAGACGATCTACCTTTTTCTCAAAGGCACTAGGGTGAAAAGATCAACGGATCTAGATGAAATAGAAGAGAGAATATGAGTTTTAAAGAGAGAAACTCAAGATTTAGCTTTTTGGAAAGTTTTAGAGAGAAAGAGAAATGAAAAAGTTGAGAAAAAACATCATCTTCACGGACTGTTATACATGCAGTCTGCTTGAGCGTGGAAAGTGACGCTTGAGCTTCAGACATCTGCTCGAGCGTAAGATACGCATTTCCAGAACTTTTACAGGCGAAGGACCCCACTCGAGCGTGAGACTGGACGCTCAAGCGTCCAATGCACTCTCCTAGTACTTGCAGGTCTGCAAAAATACTGAGAGTTGACACATCCCGCTCGAGCGCGAGATTGGCCGCTCGAGCGGAGGAGCAAAATTTGTGAATCCCGCTCGAGTGCAAGAATGTCCGCTCAAGCGGAAGAGCCAAAATCTAGGTGGCACAGGTTTGGAAAAACAAGCAACCAACCTGTTCCAAACGCACAACTACAACCTGATAACCAAAAATAATGGGAAGACAAAGTAAACAAGATATGAATAACTATTCAAAACTATAGCAACCTAAGTCTGGAGTACAACAAGTGACGGGTCAAAACTGAAATCGCTATATCAAAGGTGTACTCTTTAATTTGCCCTGACATACCATACTTAAAACACATAAAATAAAATAAAATATAACAAATCTAATCTATTTTACCTAAGTGTAACAATTCTACTTTTTTCGCTTCTTACAATTTATGAGATATAGGTCATCCCGGCAGAAATTATTTGACTCGTCCAAAAGTGGACAAAAGTGAGTTAAACAGTGAGCTTTAAACAAAACAAGAGTAATATATGCAAACCTAGGATATGTGTTTTTTTAGTAGAAAATCATGAAACAAACCCGAGGAACAGATATCAAAAGATCATTGCCAAAAACGATGTCTCAGTTCAAATCACTGTCTAATCCACTCAACTTGTGGGGACATATTTTCTGAATACCAACACGTGGCCAAGGTGACGCCGACGTATAAGTCGAGGTGCCACGTGTCCTGGTCGTGATGCCGAGGTAATCTCGGATATGTCGAGGTTATCTCCGAATATATCGGAGTCCGAGATAAGCGGATAAGAGACAAGAGTCCTAGAATGGAAGAAGACTTCAGTTTGGGTAAAGATAAGACTCTTAGAGAGTTTATCCTAATCTAACTGGGAGTCCAAGACTAGAAGTAATCCTGAGTCCATTAAAGCGGGGCTTCTATTGGGACTAGGATTGAATCAGCTATAAAAGAGAGGCACCCCCATGGGTCTAAGGTACGCAATTTATATTGAGAACAGTGATTTAAGCACTTGAACTATCTTTGAGAGATATACTGACTTGATCGTCGGAGTGCCCCCGGGTGGACGAACCACCGCCGGAGTCTTCTCTTTCTGTTGCAGGTGTTACAAGTGCCATCTATTCTGCCAATGTTCTCCAGCTGAGTACTGAGTTGGCAGTGTGGTAGGAAAATTACTCACACAATTTGGCGCCGTCTATGGGAAAGAAAGGGGAATAGATGGCCAGCGACAGACAGAGATAGAAGATTGGGGACGACACCCCTGCTGGGAGTGGGAGACCTATTGACCTTGATGCAGAAGGAGACGACTGCAACAGAGAAACTCGTGATCAGAACCACGGAGGAAAGGACATCGGCCAGGAAGGCGACGTACCAAGAAAAACAGATCAAAGCCGATACTACAAAGAAGATGACCTCCGAGTATGGAAGGACAGATGCCTGCGGAGGGACGAGGAGATAAAAGAGATGGCAAACAAATTGGCGGACCTGCAGTCGGTCGTCAATTTCATGATGCAAAATAACGTTATGCAGCCACCATTCCCACTGCAAAACACGCCAATTCCAGTGGCTAATGCCCAGAAAGAAGGACAAAAAACCATCCCTGTAGCCCCACAGCACAAACAAAGCGAAAGACACTCTCACCGGCCTTCAAAGGAGGTCGAGCGAGGAGAGTCAAGAAGGGAAGGATCCCGAAGGACGCATCGAACCAAGGAAGCAGACCCCAGAGAACATCGGCATGTGCAAAGACAGGAGTTGTGCTTTGACACAACTCATGGTGAAAGGTCAAAGAGGGGCCACCATGAGGCTGAGAGCAGCGCACCGAAAAGACTGAAGTCGGGAGATAGCTGAGCTCCTGGGCGGACCAAGGAGGACCTGAGAGACTACCTCAAAAGGAAGTAACAAGATGCCGAGGTAACTTCCACCGTTAAGCCGAGAATGCCATTCTCGGTGGAATTAGACAAAGTTGAGGTTCCTAAAGGATTCAGTATGCCGAGGTTTCAAATATACGATGGTAAGTCAGACCCCAACTTCCACGTTGGATTATATCTGAACTCTATGGCATTATATAGTGGGAACAAGCCATTGCTCTGCAAAGTGTTCCCCTCATCCTTCGGGGAGATTGCATCAGATTGGTTTCACAAACTACCAAAGGGAAGTGTGAAGACCTAGGAAGGCCTGGCCGAGATGTTTGTGGCCAGGTTCGTGACAACAAGCTACAGCCATTGAGGGTAGACGCATTGATGGCTCTAAAGATCAGTAAGGATGAAGCCCTTAGGGCCTATTCAAAAAGGTACTATGAGGTGTTCAACAGAATACCTGAGTGCAATCAGGAGGTGGCGGTTGTATCTTTCAAAAATGGCCTGAAAGACGACTGTCCGCTGCTAAAGTCTTTGGCAAAGACATTGCCAAAAAGCATGCAAAAGCTCATGATAAGAATCGAGAAATATGCCAGAGCCGAGGAAGATACATCAGGGGCTAAGGAGACGAGGCAAGAAAAAGGAAACGGCTCGTCGAAGCGAGGCCGAGGAAACAATGGATCCAGCAAGCAGGAAGTAGGACTGAGAGCTACCCAGGCAGTTACAACTGTGTTCTGGATCCCCATTCATAAAGTCCTGGATAAGATACGGAACCAACCCTATTACAGGGCACCAGATGGGGTGCTAGGAGAATTCATGGAAAGAAACCTTGGTAGGCACTGTGCTTACCACAACGAAGATGGACATATGACCCAGGGTTGCAGAGCCCTGAAATCATACTTGGAAGACCTGGTGAGGCAAGGCCACCTGAGAGACCTTGTCAATGAGACTAGGATAAGGGGAGAACAGGCAAGACTGCCTCAAGCACCAGCAGCTCCACCTCCCCCAGCACAGCAACCTCAGGCAGGAGGACCTCGGGTAATCAATGTAATTCACTTGAAGGTTAACGAGAACGAAATTCGGGGGAAAACGCAGAAGGTGAAGCACCTACAGCATATGTACCAGATCAGGGAGAAACGGCATCGGGCCGATGATCTTCAGGGACCAGTGATGACCTTCACCCAAGCCGACCTTGAGATGGTGCAGCATCCGCACAACGATGCCTTGGTAGTATCCCTCCAGGTTGGGGAGTGCCAAGTGAAGCGCATCTTGATTGACCAAGGCACCTCTTGTGACATCATGTACGTCAGGTGTTACAAGGAGCTCAGCCTTCACCCAGATGATATGGAGCAATCTAACGGCCCCATGGTCGGGTTCAATGGAACGCCAACGTGGCCACTGGGAACAACCAGTTTGGAAGTACAGGCAGGCACCAGGAAGATGAAGATAGAGTTCACCGTAATCGACACACCCTCTCCTTACAACATTATCCTGGGAAGGCCGTGGTTGCATGCAATGGGGGCTATTCCCTCAACATTGCATCAACTATTACGGTTCCCAACAGAGCATGGGATAGAGGAGGTTAGAGGAGATCAGCTGTAGGCAAAGAGTTGTTCCATGGCAATAATGAAATCCACCTGCAGCATACGAGAACCAGGAAAGGCAGAGAGTTGCCCAGACCCTGGAATACTTATAATTTGAAATTTTTCTACCATTAAGATCTCTTATTCTTTTGTTATTTGCCGAAATAAATGAATAAAGTGCTAGCTTGATTCTTTTCTATACCTATGGCTGACAAATACAGTAGTTGTTGTTTCTGAAATACTAGTATAATGAGAACCCAAGTAGAACTTAAGTTCACATTAAGGGGTAGAGAGTGAGATGATGTTTAACACTTGTTGAAACTTGAGAAAAGTTTACAAGTTGAAGTTAAACCGAGATAATGTTTAACACTTGTTGAAACTTGAGAAAAGTTTACAAGTTGAAGTTAAACTGAGATGATGTTTAACACATATTGAAACTTGAGAAAAGTTTACAAGTTGAAGTTAAACCGAGATGATGTTTAACACTTGTTGAAACTTAAGAAAAGTTTACAAGTTGAAGTTAAGCCGAGATCAGTTTAATACTTGTTGAAATTTGTGAAAAATTTATAAGTTGAAGTTAAACTAAGGTTGAAGCCAAGGATATGTTACACTAAGTACTTGAATACTTGCTGATGTAAATTATGTGTAAGTATAGCCGAGGTATTTCTTCTAGAGAAGATTACACATATGAAATATGCATTGAAGATATGAAAAATATTCAAAGTATGGAAACATACAAGAGCGGTAAAAAGGAGACAGAGATACAAGCATGGAAGTTGTATTAAACAGTTGAAGCTTACAAATTGTTTCAAGAAAAAGAAAAAAAAAGTACAAAGCACAAAGGAAAAAAGACACCAAAATCAGGACTCCTCAGCAGCAGCAGATGGTTGGGTCTGGACCTCGGAGGACTGCTGAGAAGATATCTCGGCAGCCTTCTCAGCCGCAAGTTCAGCATCAATTTCCTGAAGGGTCTCATCAAGGCTCTTGTCGGCGAAAGGCGCATCCGACGATGCCTTCTCAGGAGTGATATCCTTAGGAACCTCCTCACCCTCCTCATCTTGAGTCAAGTCCAGGACTTGCTCATTTTGAGCAGGGGATTTGGTCCCAGCAGCCTCCTTTGGTTTCCTCAATAAAGTCTCCTCCTCAGACTCAGATTCGTCATCAGATTGACTTAGAGTTTGAGGGAATGGAAGAGGAATGGCATCAGTATTTCGGAGGGGCGAGTCCTCGGGGACTTCAAGTTTTTTTAGAAGAGACATCCAACTGAGGGTGAAACCCTTGTTGCATGCCTGCTTCACTTGCTTTTCATAGTCAGCCGTGGCATCGGCCACCCCCTCGTTGTAGCCCTTTTCATCGGCAGCCTTCAGCTCAGCGTCTTTGGTGGCCAAGGCATCTTGCAGTTCTTTTTGGGCCTCGGCCATCTTTTCCTCAGCCTCCTTCTTCTCAGCCTCAAGAACCTTCTTTATGGCCTCGGCGGATTCTGCCCTTTCTTCGGCATCGTTTTGAGCTTTGATAGCATCCTCGGCTTGATCTTCCAAGGTCTTCATCTTTGATTGTAGACTTTTATTAGCCTTCTGGAGGCTGGAAACCTCCCGCTTCTTGTCGGCAAACTCCTTTCGGTTCTCAAAAGATTGTATTGAGAAGGAATGAACATGCTGGATGGCCTGAAAGAGAACAAGGCAAAAGTTATTAGAAAATTTTTCTAAGTACAAGAAGGAAAGAAAATTTACCAAATAAATGCACTTACTTGAACAGAGCGCTGAAGCATCAGAGCATAGTTTTCAAATTCGCTTAACTCGGCGTTTCGATCAAGATTGCCATGAAGAAGCAGGGCAGTACTCAGGGCAACGCCGACATTAATGTCGTCAGCGCTATCACTAGCCCTAACTGGCTTATCCTCCAGCGTGATTTTGGGGGCCCATGGGGCATCATTCTTTTGAGACCCCGAGGTGGTCGCAGAAGATGACCTCGGCCTCTTTGGTCGGGATGATTCAGACGGTTGAGCCTCAGCAGGCCTCTTCTCGACAGCTGAAGAGATCTTCTCGCTCGGAGCCAACTTTGAGATTGGCAAGGTATCCTCAGAGTCAATCTGAGTCACCTTTGCCTTTGGTTGAGCTTTCTTTATTCTTTTTGGCTTCGAAGGAGACTGTGATTGTGCTGGTGGATCATCAACAGATGACGGAATGCTAGCTAGAAGATCTTTTGCAACAGCTTTCTGGCGGCCCATTTCAGCTGGAAAAATGGTTCGTCGCCGACGTTGGTGCTAAGATATCGGGATCATATAGAGGGCCGAGGTTGACGGCTGCTCCGCTGGGTCTGAAGTTGACCCTTGGTCTGGTCAAGATGTGGAGGCGGTTTGAGGAGTTCTAGCAGAAGGTGGAGAAAGGCTTTTCTTCTTCTTCTTTGGAACGTCGGGTAGAGCTAACTTGTAAGTTGGGATGATGTTGAGTAGCAAAGGGGCCTTCCGCTTAAGAACTGGTAAGCCCAAAAGTTTCCTTAAGTCTTTGCTGGGAAAGAAAGACTAGCGGAAGCCCTTTGGTGGCTGAGGAAGAGCTGCAAGGAAAGCAGACATTAGAAACAAGTAAAGTATTGAAGACTTTAAAAACAAGTTAGTACGAACACAGGGCTCTTACCATTACCCTCTACAAAAACTTTTCGAGGAAGATTGTAGAGGTGGAGGTCCTCGTCTGGAGCAAATTCCCAGTTCCCCGAGGTGATGAAATAGTCATCCCCAGCTCCCTTGTTGGAGTCAAGGAGGTCGGCAACAATTTTGTACTCGGTGGACCTCGGCTTGAGGTAGTAAACGTAGCCCGTATCTTTTTTGAGGCCACATATGGTGTAGTAGTATTGGATATCGGCTAAGGTAATCCTAGCGTTTTCCTGTTTTGCTAAGGCAATTATGCCATTTATGATTCGATAGGAATTGATGGCAAGTTGCATTGGGTTCAACTTATAGTAGTGAATTATCTCGCGGAAAAGGATGTTGAGTGGGAGTCGAAGTCCACACTCAATAAAAGCTACAACAGGTAGGGGCATAGAATCATCCGTAGGCATGATAGAGTCATCTTCCCCAGCCAACCTCAGATGAACGTCGGCTGGGATATCAAACTCCTGCCTAAAGTACTCTAATTTACTCGGGGTGTCTACCCTATGTCTCCACATACCCATGATGTCGGCTTAACTAAGAGAAGATAGATTTCAAAAGAAAGTGTTTTGAAAGGTTATTAAAGACCTCGGAAAAAACCTAAGTATGTGCTCGGAAAGAATTTGTGGAAATCGTTTCAGTTTTTCCTAAAAATCGTGGGTTCTACAAACAAATCCCAAACCTAGACCTATGGAAACGAAGATCAAAGGCACGAATCTAGAAAAGTCACAAAAAAAAAAATAGAAACAGGTAATACGATTCAGAATCAAGAATAGTGATGAATTGCCAAGAACACTATGACAGAGTGTGTTCAAAGGTTCAAGGCCAAGAACAGTGGCAAAAGTACAAGAAAGTTGTAAGCAGTGCGTGTATTCAAAACATGGGTGAAAGTAAAATCATGAAATAAATGCATTCAAACACATGATTTATGAGACAAGAGCATAAGCAAAATAGCAATGGCGGTACATAATGAAGCAAAACTTCTTGAAAGCAACAAGAAACTGAAACCAGGAGGAACGGTGACGTGCCAGAAAAAAAGGGAAGCCGATGTTAAGTTCGTCGAAGTCAGACAAACGGCAGTAGCAGAGAAGAGTAGCAAGAGTCTCATCGGAGGAGGCAAACGGAACGAGTTGCAGGGCTATGGAAGCTTGAAACAATGGCGGATTCAAGGAAAAGAGCTAGAGAGAGAAAAAGCTAAAGGATTGAACAAAAAGTGAAGCAACGAAGAGAGGGGAAAAGTTTTGTTAAAACTTGAAACGGTGGCAAAACAGAATTAATGTGCCTAAAACAACGTGTGTGTCAGACAGCGCACGCATGCGTGAGACGATTTAGAAGCACGTACGGAATACGGTCCAGTAAGAGAAAGACACATGGCTAAAACGATTAGATTATTGTGTATGACAGTTCATACGCGTGAAAAAGGTCTTAGGGTCCTGGTTCTTTAAAGAGACATGTCTGCCTTAATGTTGAAGTCGGCCGAGAAAGCTTTTCGCGACGTAACTGGACAGGAAAGTACTGAAATAGGTTTCCATCACCTCAATGCCGAGGTAATAGAACCTAGGGGGCAGTTGTAGGGATATATTTTCTGAATACCAACACGTGGCCAAGGTGACGCTAACGTGTAAGCCGAGGTGCCACGTGTCCTGGTCGTGATGCCGAGGTAATCTCAGATATGCTGAGGTTATCTCCAAATATATTGGAGTCCGAGATAAGCGGATAAGGGACAAGAGTCCTAGAATGGAAGAAGACTTCAGCTTGGGTAAAGATAAGACTCTTAGAGAGTTTATCCTAATCTAACTGGGAGTCCAAGACTAGTAGTAATCATGAGTCCATTAAAGCAGGGCTTCTATTGGGACTAGGATTGAATCAGCTATAAAAAGAGGCATCCCCATGGGTTTAAGGTACGCAATTTACATTGAGAACAGTGATTTAAGCACTTGAACTATCTTTGAGAGATGTACTGACTTGATCGTCGAAGTGCTCCTGGGTGGACGAACCACCGCCGGAGTCTTCTCTTTCTGTTACAAGTGTTACAGGTGCCATCTATTCTGCCAGTGTTCTCCAGCTGAGTACTGAGTTGGCAGTGTGGTAGGAAAATTACTCACACACAACTCACTCATTATTTTCTTAGGCACTGGATAAACAGGTGGAGGAGTATCCATGGAGATAGTCTCGACCCTATCTAAAATCTCATCAGTACAATCTGAGGGTAAAGGTTCTAACTCCAAATGGGGTACTTCTACACAAGGTGAAAAAGATAGGGTTAAAAGTGGATTGTCCTCAATGGAAGAAAAATGTGATTCTCTGAAATGGGGAGACAACGACTCATCTATATCACTGTCATCAAAATCAAAACGAGCTAGAGACTCTCCGAAAGAATTTTCTATTGGAAAATAGGAGACTGTCTTTTCTTCCCTATCAAGAATATTAGCTATTTGCTCTAAATGGGATTCCATTTTGGCAAACGATTGACTCTGGATATGCAACAACTCATTGGTGGAATCTAAGGTGCTTTGAAGAAATGTTAACACTCTGTTCTCGTGATATGAATTTTGTAGAGGTGGGATTTGAGAGTGCATCAATTGTGTACTGTGAAGCATTTGCAACACACTTTCATCAAAATAGGAAAAATATTGAGATGGTGGGGTATAATGTTGATATTGAAAATAATCAAAAGGGGTTTCAAAATAATCGACAAGCCAACTCTGATATCCCCAAAAATTATTTTCAAAATACGTCATGACTCCACTATACACAAGGCTCCAAAACACTAGATAGCTCCAACCTTTGTTCTTGTCAAAAGAGCTCAATTTTTTATTTTATATTATTTTTTGAACCGGCTAAAACCTAGAAATTAGTATAAATATACAAAAATTGCAATAAACTAAATTGCAATAAAGTAAAAGGGGGCATAAGACCCCCATAAAGAAAATAACTGTGCAAAATAAAAGAAATTACAATAAAATAAATGTTAGTAGTCAGAAATTAGTAGTCAGTAATCTTTATTTATCCTCCAAGTTTTATGTCCAACAGAGGTAATTAATTGTGACGACCCCACCACATATAATAATCAACATTTAATTAATTAAGGAGATTTGAATTTTAATTGCCCATTATTCTAATTTAATTTGGAATTTATGAAAATTGTGGAGACTGATTCATATATAATTCTATTGAGGATTTATTTTGGAATTAGAAATTGAAAGCCTAAATGACTCAAGAGAGTATAATTAGTGAATTGAATTATTTTAATTTCGAGTATTGGACCATATGAGAGTTTAATTAAATATTCGATTCAGATTTGTAAAATTGAGATTTGATTAATCGGGTCCGAATTGAAGTTAATTGTAACGCTTCAAATTTCTATCACAAATGATAATACAATAATCATAACTCTTTCGAGGAAAACCGAATATAAATCTCCAAACTTACATTACATGATACAATAGTTCTTCATGTAACAATACATTAATCCAACAACAAGTAAATAAACAAATAAACACTTCCAAGGATTTACAAGTTTCCAAAACTTGAGCCTGGTTACACAAAACGGTTATTCAAACCCACACACATACAGCCCTTGACTTACACACAGAGTCACAGCAAAATGAGAGTCTCGTACTCTCAACACACATTTCCTCGCCTTTAGTTAGGCGGCATCACCACATCTTTTCCTGCACAAAAATCTTGTAGGGTGAGCATAAAGCCCAGTAGGTTCGTACGAACATAAAAAATATGCTCCACCAATGCAAATGATCATGAATGCAATACATACATATATAATATGCCCAAATGCATTCTCAAATCCACTTGCTTTCTCAATAAAAACCCTTTCTCCCAGTTTTGAAACCTTTCGTTTACTCAAAACGTTTTGCGAATTCAATTGTAACGCCCTCAAAATAATAACGTTAAACCCAACAAATAAGACATTCATTGACATACGAAATATCCACATTCTTCTATTCATCAGAGTTTCACTTATTCTTTTTTCTTTTTTATTTTTTTTTTTTTTTTTTTTTTTTTTATTTTTTTATTTATTTTTTTTATTATATTTTATTTTTTATTTTTTTTATTTTTTTTTTTTTTTTATTTTTTTTTTTTTTTTTTTTTTTCTTTTTTTTTTTTTTTTTTTCTTTTTTATTTTTTTGTTTTTTAGTTCTTGTTTTCTTTTTTCTTATTTTTTTTTTATTTTTTTGTTTTTTATATTTTTATTTTTTTTTTTTTCTTCTATTTTATTGATTTTTTATATTTTTTTTTTATTTTTTTTTATTTGTTTTTTTTGTTTTTTTTTGTAAAATTTTTGCATGTGGAATTCTTTGTGAAGCAGTACTCAAATGCTACATTTGTTGTTATATCATCTGCAAAAATAGATTTGAGGGCAGTTTGTTTCTAGTCATTAATGGATGGACGTATTATTGGGGTTGTGGGGCCATCACGAGTCTTATTCATATGGTCGAACGTTTAATGTATATCTCGTTGGATTTTTATATTATGTTAAAAAATGCATTGATCGGATATCGATAATGTTCATGGTCATATTTTCTAACATTTATTTAAAATATTTACCGTTACAGAATCTGTCCAATCAAGTGCTATCGATATCCAATCAAGTGGATGGTTTCAGGAATAAAGTACTGGGACAAGGTTTACCATTAAATAATTCTTCGAATGGAATCTGTGATAAGCTCTCACAGACAGCAACATGTTTCAATCCGATCACGACCGGAGTAACCTATCAAGGCCTGTTGTTCTTCGAGGTAGAATGAAGGGATTCACAGTGAGAGGTTACTAGTTGAGGGATTGTTGTAGGGAATTAGTAAATGCGTTTGTTTAATGATAGTTGTTAGTGTAGGATTATTAATTATTTTATATAAATAATTAAACGCAAAAATATATTACAAAATTAAAGCATTATTATTTTAAAAATTCCCAATATATAAAAAATTAAAATATATATATAAAATTGTAGCCTGTATAGTGTGTGTGCTGATTCGGGCTGTCCACGGTTCAACCGGTCGGTTCCATTCCAATCTCTTCCAACCTCATCTATACCCCTCCTCCATCCTAGTTTGCACGGTTGATGAGTGAGAGGATTGCCTACCTCATCCTCATCCTTTCCTTACCCAAACAACGGGGCCTAATTTATTCTCGGAGTTATTATATGTGGCGGGTTAAATATTTTTATGGTCGAGATCTGGCTATGCCATTCAGCAAGAAGATAAATTCCCTGAAGAGGTCACATTAAAAATCTTTGATTTGAATTCAGGACAGATTAAGGATGGTTTTAACTTCATAATTAATGATTGGCGTAGTATATGATTGTTTGATTGGCTCTGGTGATGTATGTGATATTTGTCTGATGACATTACAATATAGACTGTTATTCAAGTAAAAAATATAATAAATATTTTATGAATGTAACTAATTTTTAAAACGATCAAAAAAAAAATGTTGTGTTTGTTTTCAGTTTTCTGAAATTGAATTTTTTTGTTTTTGTTTTTTTGGTTTTGTTTTTTGTGATATTTTTTAATTTTAATATTTTTTTTAGATAATCTATTTAAATGATTTAATAGTAAAATATTTGTGAAAAATATTTTAAATTAATAATACCCCAAAATTGAAATATTACTGAATTTTTTTTTGTGTGTTTTATATTTAGTGAATTTTCTAATATTTTGTTTATAAATATTTACTTATTAAGTATATTTGTTAGCGTGTCTAAAATTAAAATACTTAAATAGTAAAAATCAATGAAACAAAAAAATGAGAAAACGAAGTTTAATTCTTTTAAAAGGTGAATTCTGAAACTAGAAGACCAAATTGTGAATAATATTCTATGCACTGTACATATATTTACACATATTTTTAAAAAAAAAAAAGATGTAATACCTTTTCAGTACATATATTATAGGGAGTATTTCATAGTGGTGTATAATACGTTTTTCTACTTTACTTATATATGTACGAAAATATTTTATCAGAATGGAGAGAATACTATCAATAAGGAGGGGTTGTTTTGGCATATAGCA